CTCATGCCAATTTTAGCTTGACAACGACGAGGCCTATTAACATCTCATTAGTGATCATATTTTACTACCACTGATAGTTTCTTGTTGCTGACATAAAAAGGATTTGTTTAACAGCACTCATAGGATTGACTAATACTTAGAACACCAGGAAAATCCACTGAACTCAATTACGATCTAGGAAGGTGAACTGTAGAGTTACACAAGTTGAGAAGGTCTCTTGAAGCTATTTCTAAATAGAATCCAACATGATCAGTTCAAACAAAAACTGTACATAAATATGATGTTTTTCGGATGTAAACTTGTTGAATTCTGAAAGAAGAACCAAAACTGTCACCCTCAGATAAGAGGAAATTGGTTAGGATGCATAGGAACAAAACTGCCAAGGCTCAACCCTGCCACAAACCACAACGAAGTCCCCGCTCTAAAAATGGACACCTTCAAGCTTGACTGAAATTTGCAGCTCCCCACATAACCCAAATGCTTTATCAAGAATTTTTTGCTATGGTCATAAAACAATGACAATTTGGAGGAGTAAAGGTGAGACTCTAGCAACACTGAGCCAGCTTGTGGTAGTATCATACTCTGTGGCTGTTTTGCTGCCATTGCTACTGGTAGATTGCACAAAGTAGATGGAATAATGAAGGAAGCATACTACCGCTAAAGTCTTTAACTTGACCTTAAATAAACAGCTAGACGCCTGAAACTTGAACACAGTTGGGTGTTCCAGCAGGGCAGTGATCCTAAAAACACATCAAAACTGGTTTTGGAAAGGATAAAGGAGGCTAACATTAAGCTTTTCGAATAGCCTTCCCAAAGCCCTGACCTCAACCCTATTGAAAATTTATGGACTATGCTTAAAAGCCGGGTCCATGCCAGGAAACCAAATGATTTAAATGTTTGGTTGGTTTTTAGTCTCAAAGCCATAAGACTTGTAAAATAAAACAACAACAAAAAACAGTGCTTTTCCTCAAAAATTGTTAAGGACTTGAAGATGATTCTCCATTTTAGGATTCTGGTTCCAAGATTATGGCAAAAATTGTCCAGGATGAAGAGGAATATGCAAGTTTAATCAGTATTTTGCAACAGACTGCAAAGAGATGCCTTTATTGCAAGGAAAAGCTTTTGCCCTGGCTTTGGTTGAACACTGCACATGAGACAACAAGATTTCAGTGCCAATTAAAAGACCCTTTGGCACTTTTATTCACCCATGGGAGGGTAAAATCCACAATCAGTCTTATCAGTGCCATTAAATGAAATTATGCCATCTGAAGATCTATGTAATATATCTCCACAGAAACCACACAGGGCAATGCTCGTGATGCTTCCAAGATAATGCAGAGCTAAACCAAAAGTGATGTCTAAAAGAACTAAATATATTTAGATATAGTTTGAGTGGCCCATTGCATGCCCAGCATTGCTTACTCGAATGTGATTGTTATTTTTAACTATGGCAATATTAAAGACCCTGATGGTGTTCTGCATGTTGTGGAGGGAGAGAGTGACACCATACTATACCACTTTGTCAATCCTACTGAAGTATTGTTGGTGACCATGTCCATCTGTTAATGTCCACTGTGTACCCATCTGATGGTTGCTTCCAGTCGGATAATAGGCCATGACACAAACCTCAATTCATGTTAAACTGGAGTCTTGTCTTGTGTCTTGTGCGCTCACTGAACTCAAATGGTGTCCACAATCATCAGATCTCAAACCAACAGAGCAAATTTGGGATGTGGTGAAATGAGATATTTTGCATCACGATGATTTACATCGTCATTTCCAGCAACTGCGTGTGCGATGATATTATGTCAATATAGACCAATGTCTAATGTAGATACAGTCTCTGTGGAGGATATATATCTCTTCCATCAAACACGAAATAGAAAGATACTGCACGCAGAGCATGATTCATCTGAGTGGTTTACCACATGTGTCACAGCTCGTTTTTATTTTTACATTTCATAGAGTTTAAAATTTTCATGCAACACAAATTAACGAAGTCACCATAAAGTTAGCACGCCACTATAGATCTATCAGTAACAACAGCTGTTTTGCATATACCTACATCAGTGGGTCAACTGGTTTTAAATGTTATCTCTTCACTGTGCTCATGCAGTGTCCTAGCATCAGGATATGTTCGTGAAGAGAACTAGAGAATGAATTTACCACCAGATTAGAATCTTCTGCGTTAACGTATTGATAATGTCAGTTTAAGTCGTTCCACTGAAATCTTACAAATACTTAATCTGGCATGTATATTCTACAGAAGGTGGGGAGGGCTGTTGTCCGTTCTACTTTCTGAAGTAAACATGTTGATCAGAACTGTCACCAGTTCTGCTGGTTTTATCTTAAGTCATAACTGGGATGAAGTTTAAAGCACTACAAATAAGAAGCACATTCCTCTGCCAAGTGCAGGTGATGATGTGCAGAGTTGACACTAGTCACTGCCAACAGGAAACTGGAACTTATTCTTGTTGTTCAACATTGGAGGGAGAAGGTACAGGCAATCCCCAGGTGCATGCAAAGTCAAATAACAATGCCCACAGCTTTTTGAGAGGTTATCTTTGAGCCACAGAAGCTTGAGCTGCTTTGGGTGTAAATATGATGACCATATCTTTACAAATTAAATGTGAGTCATAGAGTATGCCTGTGGGACATGATTTTAAGAGTAATGGTTCTGCTTTTTGATATACAATACATGCAATGTGTGCAGATTGTTTCATGCATCAAA